ACCTAGACACAGGAGAACTATTGTCGTGAAAGTGTTGTACAGTCGATTACGAATTTAGATTGCAGAGAGTTTGTTCTGAGCGCTAAAAGCACTCACGATAGAGCACATTTTGCTTTATTCTAACACAGGCGACAGGCGTAGAACAAGCCGTTGGTTCCCCGAAAGAAATAAACTTGTCCCGTTTCACCAGCTGTCTGGGCGAAAGAAACCAAAGGATTCCTATTCGCTTCTGTTCTTGCTGAGGGCTGTCTTGCGCTATTATTGTTATTGCCGCAACCGCGTCGGGCGACATCGTTCGGCTTCCAATTTTCCAGAAGTTTCAAAACTCCAGGGACGTCTTTAGGAAATCCGTCCTGTGGGGTTCCGTTGGGCTTCTTCAGATAGTGGTTAGAGAGCTCCTTCATCAGGTCACCAAAACGCTCTTTGTTGGTCCGCTTAAGGATTGACATGGCAATGCTACGATCCTTAATCATCTTTTTCTTGAAGCGTCGGACGTCATCTTCTTGTTCCGTGGTCATAACATCGGTCCCTGTGGCCGATGCTGCGGTGAATTTGCTCTTGGCAGCTTCCACAGCTGTCTTGAGCTCCTTTTCCTTCGCCGGAGTCCACAGAAATGGGCCTCCACGGCCTTCGTAAGCCTTGATGGCTCGTAACATAGTAGTCTTCACAAAAGCTTCATTTGATTCGCTTCCCTTTTGACGCATCTTGAAGATCTGCTCGAGCGCGTCATCAAGCGCGAGCTCTGCGGGCGCAAATCCTTCTTCATATCCCGAGACGATGTCCTCAATGGTGCTCATGAGCCAAACCATATCTTTATTCTTGCTGGCGGCCAGATGGCCATCAGTAGACTTGATCTTGTTTCGCATTGTCCTAGTCACGTTGCTCATGATTAGCTGAAACATAGCGACAGTGTTAGCCCGAAAAGCGTCCTTCTGATCTTCGTATTTGTCCATCAACCGATCGTACGCTTTGACTTTTCTGGCGTCTGCCTCTTCTGCAGCTGTCAATGGATCAGGCTCCTTTATCTCAGGCTCCGCGTTTTCTTCTAGAACGTAACCCACATCACCTCCATCCGCCCACCTGATGATTACTTTGTCAGTCAAGCTTCTAAAAAAATCCTCCAGGTCTTGCTCTGTTCCATCTTCCTCGGGCGCCTTCAATTGTTGTTTGAGCCCCTTTACCGTAGTCGATCTGTAGCCCATAGAGCTCATGGCGATATCTGATCTTTCTTCTTCTTCTTTTTCTTTTTCAGTTTCCCACTTTCTTCAAGTTCTGTGGGATTCTCTTTATCGTTTGCGTTGCCGTCTTTACTGTGACAAACTTCCTTCCAAACGATTCGATTCTTCCAATCGTTTCCTGCCCTTTCTTAGGCTTCTTTATCAATACTTTATCACCGATTTCCAAAGTGATGGGAAACTTCTTCTCTTGTTCCTGTTCGTTTGTTCCACTTTTGTCGCTCCTCTCCTTGTCGAGGACTATTATCAACTTCTTGACCTTTGACTCTATTTCTTTCAAGTCTTGGACAAGTTCTTCCTTGCTCTTCTTGGTCATGTACTGTTGAAATGTAGCGATGTTGTTCAAATATGAGAAAATGTATATATATTCAATTTCAAAAACTCTTATGTTAGATAATAAAAGACCCTACGATACTCTGAGACAATCAGTCTTCAGTTGTTCGGCGTAACATAGTCCTAATACTGTGAACCTTAAAGTGGTTAATAAAAAAACTTGCTTTAGTTGGGATAAGAGTTTTCGAATGACCAAAGCAAACTCATGCTTTCGGTCATCCCAAAACTCTCTACGCAGTTTTAAACTACTGTAAATCAATCGTTCATCTTTCGAACAACATCTGCCCATTACTGGTTCTCCATACTCTCACGGTTGATGTATGACGGTATCTGACTCAGGGGAGTCGTCTGTACGACTTCCAACAGCTGCACCCACTGCACTGTAACAAAAGTATTGAGTCAGAAACACGCGCGATCTTCTCGCATGTTTTTCATCTTTTTTTATTTAAATTACAGTTCGTACCGGTATTAATACCGGTAGGCATAGACTAGGTTTCAACACAATATCAATCCAATAAAATGATACAATCATCCCTGCCACTTCAAAATTTATGCGCGCGGCTTCCCATAGGGCGTCGGAACCTTTCCGGTTTCGATTTGAGTGCCCTCTCGTCTCGTCTTTTGGAGGTGGTTCGGAGTGGAAGCTTAAATCCGCCCAATCCTGTCCTGAAAAGTTTGAGAAATAAGGCCGATGATTGTTGGCATCCTGAGTTTAGGAGAATGCTACCTTAGTAAGTTCTGTTGGACGATCTGTTGGATTTTTTCTTTCACATTCTGACCTTGGTAATCAAAATCAAATTCATACCATTTCAAGCCACCTTGAGAATGCAATTCAATCGACCAGAACGCAGTACTCTGTTGATTTGGCAGAGTTAGAAGTGGCAATCACAGCTGGTGTTGACAAGGAAACACAATGGAAGACAACATTAGATCTCTTGAATCGAATAGATGAGATTGAAGCGCCATTGTATCAAATTAAAGAGGTGGGTGATGGGATGATAACGGTTGCTTTCTCAACCTTCTCACTTAAAATCATAAAATCTTAGGTCGGACAATTGTTTTCCGAGCTGGCTGCTTTGCCAGATCAACAAAAGCAATGGCAAGAAGCACATAGAAAAACCAGATCTATTCGGGGGGCGCTCCGACCGTTCACAGGGTCCAAAATCATCTACCAGACGCTAACTGAGATGGCTGGTTCATCCACGGATGCTCACTTTCCGATTTATTTGCGACTTGCTTTTGAGAGAAACGGATTATGTGCGGATGAAGGTCATCCAGATAAGAGGCAACAATTAGTAGAAATCGATGAGAAACTGAAGTCGTTGAATCGTCAATTGCAGAGCGTTGTCGAAAGAAGTGGAGCCAACAAATCAGATCGACTCAGTATTGTGAAATATATGTACAACATCATTGGCTTAACCCATTTGCAAGCTCAACATCTTGGGTATTCCACAGTAAGCTCGATGATGATGCATGAACGCAATGCTATGTCATCCTCCGTGGAAGAAGTCCTTAATCAGAATGAGTCGTTGGCAAACATTTTAAGGCCGTACGTTCCAAAAGCATCTGTGACATTGGACGAAGAAGCTGGAGCTTTCCTGCCTTCAAGCAAGCCCAAAGCACCAACCGATAGTGAAAAGGAACTTTGGATAGCAAAGCAAAGCTTCAAGAAGCTTGTGTATCTAGATGGTACCATACAAGCCATAGTCGATTTTTGTGACTCGATTCTTGGAATAAACATTGTCGAAAACAAGGATGCATCCTCGCTTGGTTGGAATCAGAATGTCCGTATCTTTGATGTCGCTAATAAAACTGATGGATCTTCGATTGGAACGATTTTTTTTGACCCATACAATGACAAATACTGGAGGTCAAGTGAAGCAAGCGAAACTACTATGTCGCGCCTGTTCTCAATTCGACCAAATCAGACACGTTTTCCGGTCGCCGTGATCGGGCTGTCGATTGAGCCAACTTGGGATGATGTACCCACACCGCTATCCTGGAAAGACTTTCAAGATGTTTTGTTCCATTTTGGCAATGCATTACAAATGCTTTTATCACAAAAGGCCAAGATAGACAACAAGACTCCATACTATTTGCAACCATCAGATGTTTCTCATTTTCTCGGAAAGGTACGTCAAATTGGAGAAGGATTCTTTCCATGCGTCATTCTTCTCATCGATCCAAAGTTCATGGTATTGTGGCTGTATAATGACGGCTTCTTGGAAAGATTGGCGCAGCTCTCGCAGGACCAGTTCACATTTCAGCCTGAACTGATGAGGGTTCTTCGGCAAGAATTCAAGAAACAAAGAGCCACAAATTTAATGGAAAATATTTTTTTGTGCACACTGGAACTGGCGATTTTCACAGATTTCGATCCTAGGGGGGACGAGACGTTGGTGTCTCTACAGGGTCGTATTGCACGAAAATATGTTCCCTACGACATGCCTGATTCAAACGACCTAGGTCCAATGATTGAAATATTTCAATGCAAAAACCTCGACCCAAAGATTTCTACAAATTGCCCAGTGCATTCAGAAATGCTTGCATGTATGGCGTATAAAAGATTCATGACCACGGACTTGCAAAATGCTGGAGCGGTGGAAAAGTTAGGACAAGGGATCCGCAATCTATTCCTTTCTCCAGAAACTTCTAGCAAGGAATATTTTGAATCTCTGTGCGATGCAACGGAGATATCAGTGAAGTCACTTCGAGATGTTCACGATTTCTGAGAGAACGTGTTTGACTATGTTCATGATATTCTATTTTTTTAACGAACAAGGTTGTGACTTTCTGCTCTCTTTATTCGTACATCTATTTCTTTCCTTTTTTTGAAAGCTTCTTTGCCATGGCTTTCAACACCTTCGATGCTTTCGTGGCTTCAGAGTCGCCCTTGATGCTCGCTGAGATCTTGTCTAATATTGCAACCATAATGTTAGATGTTGCGGTCTTCAGGTCGCCCGGATGAAGCGATTCGTTGGTGAAGCTTGCTTCAAGATCGTTCTTGTTTTCGAAAACAATATCGCCACCATTATCAGCAGCGCGTTTGATCGTGAGCTTCCCGTCGCTATCAGCGAAATCAAAAGTGAAAGCGGAAGCCAACGAAATGGGAGGGCAGAATCCAATATTCTTTGGTTCGCAAAAAGCTTTTTTCATCTTTGATTTACCATGAACCTGGAAAGCAAAAGAGGGAATCTCAATTAGATATTCATATTTCAAGATCATCCAATATGCGAGAAAAAAGGCACGACTTACCTTCGGATCATCCAACAGGAAGTACTCGTCGTTCTCTGTTATGTGCGCATCTGATTCTCTTCGATGCAAAAGCAAACTTATTTCAGCTTTGTTGCTAATTTTTGGAACAGCCAGCATCGGCAATTTTGCTTTGAAGAATGATTCCACCATGGACGTCATGATTGCCGATGCGTTGGCCCCATTTACCAACGACAAAGTCGCTGGTTCGATACCCGCGATGTCGGCAACTTGCATCAGTCGGGCAATGACAATACCTGCTCCTTCAGAATCTTTCATATCAGGACCCATGACATCATTCAAACGGAAGTGGCGCCCAATATTGATGACGCTGATCCAATAATTGGATGGATCTGCAAATATTGCTTCACTTTGACGAAGAACTTGCACCTTAGCAATAAGTTGTGGGTCAAGAGACCGAAGAGCAGCCAAGAAAACGGTATAGAAAGCGTCGATTGCCTTGATATCGCCGTCGCAGCAACTACACACTCGAGCTGACCAATCCGAAAGATACAACACGGAAGGGGCATCACCACCACTTTTCAATTGGGTCAGCACATCCATCGCTTCTTGGAGGCTTGGAGCGGCATTTGGCAGGGGAGCAAAGACAAGGTGGGAATCGGCTGCCACTTTTTTCAACTCAATTAGATTCAACCGCCGCGGTTTGCTGTCTTTTGGAAGTTTCTCTTTCTTATATTGCTGCACGAGAGACAAAAGGTTCTTTGCATTTTCATCTTGGGTAAAGTGTGTTCGGACTGGTTCCAGCAACTCGTTCAACGCAGCGATCAATGCTTCTTTCAGCTCGGCTTCGGAAATCTCACCAGACAAGAATTTGGTGCGAACATCAGGGAAATTGGTGTATGTATTTTCGCCAGCCTTGAAAGATGCACCAGGGGGACTGAAGATGATATGTTGAATGTAGTCGAGACACGGATTCTTGATTTTGTCCTCGACCAAATGCATCGATTCCTTTCCAGCATCTTGCACTTCTTCCTTCGGCTTTTCGCCGTCCGCTTCTTCTTCTGTTGGGCAATAGGCATTCATGATCTTGCGTTCGACATCTTCGGCACTGTCCTCCATGAAAACAGCGGAATCTGGATCGGACTTGGACATCTTTTCTTGACCTGCTTTGAGGCCAAACAACATATGGTGGCTTAGAATGATTGGTTTGTTCTTAATTTTCGCTGCATCACAGTATTCACGGGCAAGCATGTTGACTTTTCTTTGGTCGACTCCCAATTGACAGATGTTCGCTTTTAGAAAAAAGACGTCGGTGCATTGCATAAGTGGGTAGAGGATTTGTGCCGCGGTCAGCGAGCCCTCCAACCGGCCCATGATTTGACAGCATTTCTTCACTCGGGTGATATTGAACCTTCTAGCAACATCTAGCATTATCGGCCAGTACTTGTCGGCATTGTTGGTGATTTCTTCTGATGCCCACTTAAATACCACATTTTCCAAGTTCATTCCAGCTGCTTTCCACACCTCGATTAAGTAGAGCCCTACGGTCTTGATTTTTTCAAGATCTCCCCCCATCTTGTCGTTCATCAGTGCAAACCAATCTGCAACCCAGAAGATGAAAGTTGCGTTGGTACCCTCCGCGGTGCATTTGTTGACATTCATTGCCTTAAAGACTCCCTGTGCAATATGCATACGACCACTCGGTTCAAAACCGTCATAGAGATTGAAACCGGCTTGGTCGGAACCTCTGCCTTTTGCAGTCATCAAAGCTTTCAGCTCAGATGCAGCTATGCACTCTTCTCCAACAGTAAGGATTCTCTCATAGTCACTTTGAAGCTCCGCAGTCCAATCTCGGGGAGGCTTTGCCGGCTCTTTCTGAGACCCTTTGGCCATTTTCACAGTACCAGACCGACAAGGACGTTGTACAAATGACAAAAATTCTGATGATAGGGATTCATTCATTCTTCATCACACAGACTGACTGTTAAACTCATAACCTGATAATGAGAAACACTATACTAGTACTTGACATTTCCTGGAACGCACCACAACGTGCAACGCACGCAATTTAAATGTCCGTTAATTGTTAAAAATGCTTTTTTATTAAAAAAAAAGTTAAGTGTCCGTTTCAATTTTAGCGCGGGCGCACTGTGGAAATCGGGCATGCCCCGTGCGTCAATTTGACGCAAAAACGGGCACGCCCCGCGTCAAATTAACACAAATTCGCGTCAAATTAACGCAAATCTGCGTCAAATTAAAGCAATTTCGCGTCAAATTGACGTTGGCGCGCTACGCACGAAACTGCGTCAAATTGACGCAAGTTGCGTCAATCCCGCGTCAAACTCAAGAAATTGCGTCAATCCCGCGTCAAACAGATGCAGTTGCGTCAATCCCGCGTCAAACTCAAGGGAGGCCAGAAACACAATGTTATAAGAGCACAGTACAGGCTCTGACGTCAGCTACTTCATTATGCTATGGGCTACAGTTCTGGATTCGTTTCTCAGAAGTACTTGGCTTCATATCCCAAAATTTCACAGTTCCAAGCTCGGCTAAACCAATTTGGATTGATACCAGCAGGAGGACAGCACCTGTCGCAAGCGTATGCTTATCATAGTTATGGATCCAAATACCTTGCAATGATTGGAACTTTTTCATCTTGCAAAAAACACATACTAGCTCGTTCTTTGGTGTTCAACGAGAATTCTGGATGCAATAAGTTCCTAAACAATTGAGACAAGGAGAGCAGAAAGATCCTCCTGAAAGGAATGGGAGACATTGCCAGATCCCTGGCCAAGTATGCCTATGAAAGAAAGATCAGTCCCAATATTGCCAAATTTGTTCTCAAATATGTTCTCTACAAGATTTTTGAGCAGTACTATATCTGGGGGATTCCTTTGATGAGCAAGACAGTGATATCTGTTGGTTACTAATTTCATCAAGGGCTTCAAACTCATTGATAAGGTCGTTGTGTCTTGCTTGGACAATAGCATCATCGCCATTATGTGCCCAAGCTTTGTCGATTTCCATCAGTTCCATTGTTCAAGAAATGGGCAACTCTCATTGGAATGAGAGTGGGAACTCAAACACTCATTCATTCACATACTCCAATCTTTTTGAAACTGATACCAGTAAGCGGGTTTAGTCCCGCGTCAAAGACACGCAAGCCCGCGTTAAATTGACGCAACCCGCGTAAGTTGACGCGGAATTGGCGTTAAACTTACGCAACTCTAACACAACTGCGCGTCAAACTAACGCAACTCGCATCATTCCCGCGTCAAAAGAAACATCCCGCGTCAAAGTCGCAGAGCATTTTAACGGACACATAAAAATTACTTAGCTTAAAAAACAAATTCTCAAACCAATCCAAACGGACAGATTTTGGGCGTGCGTTTGGGTGCGTCCCTGTAGAATGTCATCAGCAACACAGGGAGGTTCTGCTGAAACCCGCCCGTACGTCGTACGTCAGAATTCCATGACTCATCAGTTAACCGTTTTCTGATCAGAGGCTGATTCGAGGCTGATTTTTTAAAAGACGTAGGATATATACTTCTGACAACGATTTCCACTTACGGAGGCTTATTGTATCCTTTCTATGATATAAAAGAGTTTCTGCTATGTGTTCAGTTCTTTGGTGGCCATATTTGGTAAAGGGCATTTAGAGTTTACAATTGTGGTCGGTGGAGTCCATTTTACGTAGATTTTGTACCGTATCTTTCGAGCACGCCGCTATAGAATCTTTCGAATTCAGCCAACTGCTGAAAAAATTCAGCCCACTGCTGAAAAAATTCAGCAGTTGTCAGCAGTTGGCTGAATTCCCTGCTGGGATATGCCGCAATTTGTTGTGAATCTGAGCATGCATGCGCGACAGACCAATTTTCTCACTCTTTCTGCAGGGGTACCAAACCAAAAATCTCCTTTTTTCATGGATTGAATCGTTGTTTAACGCTTCACGTCCTGGTGGTGTTTTGATATTCGGACTTATATTAAAAAATATCTTCTCTTAAATCATAAATTTGCTGTAAATTTGCTGTAGATTTGCTGTAGTCATTACAGATGTTCCGAAATTGCTGTAAATGATGACCACAACAAATTTAAAGCAAAGAAGGGCTTGCGTGCGCGCATTCCAGGCCAGTATGTTGCTACACAAGTTCAAGCGGCCAGGGTAAACGGTTATACAGGAAAGTACGCTTGCGACAATTTTGCTGTAAATTTGCTGTAAATTTGCTGTAGTCATTTATAGATATTCCGAAATTGCTGTAAATGATGACCCCAAAGATTTTGATTTTACTTCTTTCGCTTAAATACATTATGTTGTTCTATAAGTAAAAGCTAATCGTAGAAAGACTTTGCTGTGAATTTGCTGTAAATTTGCTGTGAATTTGCTGTAAATTTGCTGTAGTCATTTACAGATGTTCCGAAATTGCTGTAAATGATGACTACAACAAAGAAAGGACTTCTTGTTGCTGTTAAGAAAACGTTATTCTAAATTTGAGGCAAGAGAAAGTGTGGCGTAACGTTAAACATTGTCCGAAATAGATAGCTACAGCATACTAGTCTATAGCCTAACAATAGGATATCTATTTTATTCACTCTGGTGGTACAGTTTTTGCTTCAAATATAGGATGTCCATGGTCCATCGCATACTGGACAAGAACAGCCACCGCTTCAAAAGCATAGACATGATTTTCGGGGTCGTGATGGTGCAGTATGTGTTGAAGAGGAGTCCAGTCGACCATTCAAACTCTCGTGCCTTGACAGTTAAATCGCGCGCATGTACTGCTGGCCACTCCGACGATTTTGTTGTGGTCATCATTTACAGCAATTTCGGAAGATCAAATTGCTGTAAATGATGACCACAACAAAATAATACAAACTCGAAAAGTCAAACCGATATATTTCACCTACTTAACAAGTTTTGTGAATGTTAAACATTTGAAGTCGTAAAAGGCACTAAACGATTTTTCCTAAGTAAAGCCTGAAATTGGAGTTTCGTGCAGAAGAGGGTGAAAATGACCACATGGACTAGTAAAAAATGAGAAAAATCTGGTTTTACAACAAATTGCGGGGTATCCCTGAACTGCTGAATTTTTTCAGCAGTTGGTCTGATTTCAAAGATTCCGTTTCATCAGATTCCTTTACATGGAATAAGGTGAAAAGACAACGTAGGTCCTGCCTAGAAGACAATATCTATTCGACAACTATAAATCATATATTAATTTCAGTCCCTTTAAAGGAATCGAGTGCAATGTATGAGTTCAAGCAATCAGATTTTACGCTGCTTGTCTCAGGTGGTGTTGAAGGTTTGGGATTGGCGATCCACACACAGAAGGAAAAGGGAATCTTGCATTTTTTTCGAACTGCTGAAAAAATTCAGCCAACTGCTGAAAAAATTCAGCAGTTGTCAGCAGTTGGCTGAATTCCCTGCTGAACTGCTGAATTTTTTCAGCAGTTGGCCTGAATTCCAAGATTCTGTTGTTGCAGATTCTATTGTGTAACTGGGTGCGCACGCATGTCACTTTTGTAACGGTGAAATTGTGGAGACAAAAGGTACATTTTTAGCTCTGGAACATCTGGAACACCTGGCAGAACGAGGATTTTTGAGTTCTTTGTGGATCGTTTATCCATATATATAAATACTTCCATCTCTTGCATCAGCTCGAAGGGCAGACGAACGACGCCAACCAAAAGATATCAGGACTACACAGAGATTCCAAAATTGTACATGTGCGCCCGGCAAGTCGGTACCGCTCTACTAAAGCCAAGCTGGAAGTGTTGGGAATTCACGTGCGCGTGTAAGAACTAATGAAGTACTGTTGGGACTAACAAAGTACTTGTGGAAAATCCAGGTTTATATGGATTAAAAGTGGTCTTCAGGCGTGACAAATAGATAGGATA